TATATATATAACCATATCTCAAATTAATTATCAATGGGCCACATAGATCTAAATGTACAAATTTTAGTAATGTATTAGCTCTTTCACCTTTTCTAGTGAAAGGTACTTTGATCATGTTACCAAGTAGTAAGATTCACAAGTTTCATATAATTCATCAACAAAGAATATAAGTATCTTTCTTCATGTGAATTTATAATTCTCTTTCCATTCTTGTGTCCAAGTCTACGATACCAAATTAGGGATTGAGTTGAATCATCTATTTTAGCTTTTTTGACAACATTGTTGAACAATTGATTTTTAGCTTTTAAAACGTATAATCCATATGAAAAAATCCCAACAATAATAATAATAATAATAATAAATACCATAGTTAGTTATGTTTAGTGAACTTATTCATGTAACAATCACCACATATTAGTTTATAGGTCCCCATACTTCAACTTCAATTTATGGGATCCATTACTCACTTCATAAATGAAGAATACAACCATGTGTCAATCTCTGAATTTTATAAACAGCAAGTCTTGATAAAACATTAATTTAAAACATTTTAACAATTTAAGTTTTGATGTAAAATTCTCATATTTATAACATTTTATAATTCCCTTTGAAAAGAATATGTAATTCCTTAGAACTTCTATCTCATCTAATCAACAATAACAATCATATGACAATAAAGATCATATGCTCAAATAACATAATTTATCTCATTACACTTAATCGATTGTATTATGGCGCATACATTATCTCTATCAAGAGTTGCTTCAATTATTTAACTCAAAATCGTTATGTATCAAAAATAAAAAGAAAATCTTAAATTACAATGACAAGCAGCTGCAATTGAGTATAAAAATGTAAACGTACATTTTCCATTGATATGTTAAGCAATACATATGATGCAAGAGGTTTGCTACTCTTAGAACATTTTCCCGATACCATCTTTCCTCAGAATAGATTCATTTACGTCCATTCGCTGCCAGTTCCCAACCAATGATGACATTTGGTCAATCTTGTCAAACAACCCAAGGAGTCCGCCTGTATGTATGAAGAGGACCTTTCTTCCCTCCCAATTCTTTGGATTCTCAGCCATATCTTTCATCATTCCATAAGCAGCTTTCCCACTGACCAAAACAGAAAACTTAATGCCAAAGAGAAATCTTCTTTTCCAAAATAGAACCTGTGTAGATAAATTTAGTACCGTGCTAATCATCAAACAAGAAAATTTTAATGTTTGACGGGAGGATTAGTCTGATTAGTCCAGCCATTTGATCATTTAATTTACTTATTATATGGCTAGATTGGTTGGCTGTTTCATCAACGGCAGCCATTAACCTAGGGCCATGTAGCTGACATAGGTTTTACCGTATGGCTTGCTCTACTATCATTTAGAAAATCATCAGACAGTTTTCAACTAAGTTAACTGTGAGTTGCCCTACACTATATAAGGTTGTAACATGAAGTATAAAACCTCAATATCATAGCAACATCGCAGCCATATGAAACGGATATCAAATGAAGACATGGTTTCTATTTTCATTGACATTAGGTGAATGACAATGAGAAGTTTCTAGTTGAAAATGGAAAAGTTATTTGAGAAGGAAAATATAAAATGAATCATATGGCATCAATATGTAAAATATAACTTTTAAACCTGTAAACCGGGTCAAGAACAACCCCTGTTGCTGCAGCAATTTCCTTGACAAATTTAAGCTCCTCAGATGTGTTAATTGCATAACCCAGTCCTTTAGCCTGTAGAGAGACAGAAATTTTTACAAAATTTTACTTACTCCAAATAGAATACAAGAAGTTCATGGCATCCGTCGAATTATCAGAAGAATTAGACTTCAGCTCCAAGAATTTCACTCCATCTTTTGCATGTAATCAAATAAGGAATAAATCAAATAGGTAGAGCTTGCAAAGTGGACCTGAACTATAACTCGCCCAACCGCATGGACCCAAACCCAATCAAACTGATTTCACTCCCAAAGTAAACAATCTGAACCACCAAACCTAAACCCAAAACCAGGAACCAATGTCAACCCAAACCTAATCTGAACTTAATGTCAATTAAATTAAAAAAAATGATGAATATATTATAAATTATTATATCCAATATCCACTTGACTAGGTTTGAATTTAACTTAAAAAAAGGACAACTTGAACAAAACTGACTTGCAACCCAAACATATCAGAAGATACCGCCCAAAATGACCAACCTAAACCTGACCAGCCTAATTGCCACTTCCACAAATAGGTGATAAGTTGAAATAAGGTGATGGCTTCTCACAATTACTGGATGTCAAAGCTGCAAAATTTAGGGTTTGACCATCCATGTCCTGGATAATCTAAGGCCTGTCAAAACAACAAGTCCAGCTTTTTCACACCCTCTCCAACACAACCCACCCCCCCCCCCCCCCCCCCCCCCCCCCCCCTGGGCCCCCGACACCCCCCTTTCGCTCTTTTTTCCTTTTTTTTTTGAAAATGAATAACAGATAAATTATTGTCTATATTCCTTGTACAATATTTATAAGTTAGAAAATGCTAGAAAATTTAAGCAAGAATATAAATGGCCCACACAAATGTAAACAACTTGAAAATATCTGGAAGTGCACAGGGGGCTTATAAAATTGGTTTGATCATGAGGTGTGATCTAATGTGGGGTATCTTCGACTTATGAAAGCTATAGAGCAGTTTAAAGTCAGTGTGACAGACACTGTCAGGAATTTAACAATGACATTTCCTAATTTTCTACTATAGAATTTTGTGACTTCATATGTTTAATACCAGCAGCTGCAAGCTGATTTCACTCCAAGATTAGTAAGTTTTAATGCAACTTGACTAGTCCAAGTCAAGCCTATGCAGTAGACATCATCTCCAAGAATAGTTGGCATATTTTAAAATATTTCACTCCGTGTATTAAGGATATAATTGATAAAAAAGAACTTATTAGCCCCTTGCAATCCTAATTTTCCTTACCCCCACCCCTCCCTTTTTCATTTTCCTGTTACATATACATGCAGGTTTTGCATCTAAACAGTATTCCAGCAACTTGAAATTTAAAATATACAAAAGATTGCTGATTATCCTACAGCTTTGCTTAGGTCCTGGAATGAATTAATGGCCTAGAGCCTACTATAGAACACTGAGCAAACAACACCGAATAGTGTCTCCATCATTACAACAAACATAGAACATAGTGTCGGCAAACTACAGAAAGCTGAGTGATGAACTGAAGAAATAATGCCTGAGAACTTGCTACAAGTCCGCCCACATAAAATGAAGTCAGTCTCCACCCTCAAGCATATGCATATTTTATAACTAAAACAGGCATTCAAATTTAGCACACTCAGTCAAGAACCATCATTTACTATATTTTAAAAGAGAAAAAAATTAAAAGATCCAATGGATCCTGTTAAACACTCACATTTATGATGCTAACAATATCCCGTGAGTTAACACCTGCTTGAAGTCCATCAACCAGGCCTTGAACAAAGTCGTAGAAGTAATCAGGATCATCACAAACGCAAAAAGCATGAACCTAAATTGTCAGTAGAACATATAAATGATAAATCAATTCGCTTATGGAGAAATGCAAGTCTTAATAATAGATGGGATTACACACTTTTGCCTTCAATTCTCCAAGCCATGATCCCAATGATAGACCAGCAATTGTACCCCCACTAAACATCAATAAAAGAAAACTGTCACTCAACATTCTTTTTATCTATAATGCGATTAACATAAACGCCAAGCCCAAATGATAGTCAACATAAAAGCTCAATTAATTAAATATCACAACTCTAGTCAACCTGCGCTTAAAACCACAAATCTCCAAAATGGAAGTCCCTGATCAACATTAACATTCCCCCAACTTAACTAAACGCAATAGAATGCCAGATGAAAAGGAAGTAACATATGTCAACATTACCGCAGCAGGAACAAAAGGGCAATTATAAACCAACTCATATAAAAATATCTCCTGCAAGTGGAAGCTTGCAAGTACTCTCATAGATTATTATGAATTAATAATAATTAAAAGAAGCCCCTTCACCAATAAATGCTGACATCCGAACGAGACGACATCCTACAACACTGCCTTCAAAAACTCCATTTTAGATGACTAAAAGCCACAGCTCACAAGTACAAGATCTTGTACTTACAAAAGTAGGGTCATACATTGATAACATATGCTAGTAGAATCTATACCTTAGGGTCAAGGTTTAAATGACAATCACCATTAACTTCAGTGTTGCAAAATAGGATCTGAAGGAATTTCAGTGTTTGCAAAATAGGATCTGTAGGAGTTCTGAAATAAAGTTCAAGGTTGTTTACTTAAGTTGAAGTTTGCTAAAGAGTAAGAGAAAAAGAAAGAGAAATTTTTCTTTATGTATGCACGGAAATCTCATTGCATTTACATACATCAACCTAATTAAAAATATAAGCTTAGAAGAGTCCCACTTAATGAGAGTAGGCATAACCTCTTTGTAGACTAATATATCCAATCAATGCAATCAATGATGCAATGACATCTCATTCCAACCACTGGTGCTACTCAAGCATTTCAGGAAAACGTTAAGAGAGAAAATCCCTTAAGTGACCCTTATTCAAGCTTTGTATCACCAAGCCAAAACTTCATACACCATTTCGTGATTAGAGGCTAATCTAAAGATCCAGCCACTTAAGGTTAAGTCCATATGATACCTTAAATTAACAACTATTAGACATGCACATGAGCAATTACAATATACCAAGAATCAAAATCTACAAGCCTAAACAAATCATCTTGAGACTAACTCTTAAGATTCATTCTTTTCTATCACCATTGAATTGATAACATATACTTCTTTTAATTCAATCCCTTTGAATTAGCAACCATTTTATAGGTTGAAATATGGAGATACTTGAACAAACATGTAAAGTACTTGTTAAATGAACAAGTTCACTTAACTCGACCTATCATGAAAATTTCATTTGATATTTCACTCAAGAGTCTATAGAAACAAATTCTCATGAAACAGTTGCATAAATAATCCTTAGACTTTAGATCATCGGATTATCTTGTATGTTGAGTGCTCTATTTAATACTATCTTATATTGTCCTAGTCAAGGATGTTTAATAAGATGGATATTAGGAATAACATGAAGCATATGGAGATAGATGAAAGATCATTAGAGGATTCCTTTCTCTAACTAATTCTAAAGGGAATATCTCATTACTTCTTCACACATATTAACTCAAAGATATCCTTGGCCAATGTAGAATGAGGATTCAAATAGAAGTTCTCAAATTTTATTACAGAGTTAATTACTAGTTTCATGAGCTAACATAATTAAGACATACATAGAATAGATACTGAACCATACTCCATTTCTTAACGAGATATTAATTTATTAAGGGATTGAATTACAAGGTGAACTGTACAGTCGAACCATTTTGACCTTTTTCAACATTTGGGTGGTTATGACGTATTACTAGATGTCAACCTTGATCTATAAGATGAATTAATTAATTATTTGGAATTAATGATGAATTCAAAGGAGTTTGATTTCATCTAATCCAAATTAATTATAATCCATGTCCAACATGTTAAAAATTTAATGGGTCACAAACATTAAAAGTGACCATGAAAATGGAAAATCATATGGGACTTAATTGTAAAGAAGCGTAAAACTTCACAAATTTAATTAGAAGGGTTCAATTAAATTGGAGCAACAGTATAAATGTTATGCCAATCTTAATAAGGTTAGGATTACAGAAATTACCTATATAAACAAGTGTTTGGGCCACACCTCATAAGATTCTTGAGAAGAAACTGAACCCTAGCTAGCACTAGAGTAATCTGCCAAACACTTCCCACTCTCCCTAGGAGATTTTCTCACTTTTCACTTGTATGGATCACCGTTAAAGGCTGGACACTTAGATAGGTTGTAATTTGTGACAATCCCTGCTTTGGTGCTTGGAGGTTTTGGCATTCAAGGTTACGAACCTTTTTTATTTTGACTCAACAAGGTTTAAAGGCGTACTAATCGTCTGCCTTGTAGTTAGAATTATCAATATTAAACAAATCAAACATTGATCTTACTTTTGGGAAAAATTTTAAATTTCACAGCATTGCTGTCAATATGATTGCATGATTTCCCAAGACAAACTCTCCACCAAAATCAACTACGATGCCCTTTGACTCTAGAACATCTTGGGGTTCTCTATAACCTCTAAAAGCTTGTCTAAGGACTTGACCATTCCCTAAGTATGTTCCTTGGTTGGGAAGGTTACCTTTAGTAGATCCTAAAGGCAAGAATATATTTTCAGTCAATTTTATGCACTCAGCCTCCCTACTCACCTCACATTTATCCAATGTTTTTACTATTTGGTTTAACTTCTGATCCATACCACATCTTGCATGCTCAACAAAGTCCATTCTTCCTCTAAAAGAGGTCATTCTAGTGGTTAAGGCATCTATTCCTTTTGAGGTAAAATCGAGGCTAGAACACTTTTAGGGAGAAGATTTTAAATTAAAGGCATGAGAAGTTTGAGACATGGTTTTATTTTCTTTTCAAAAAAAAAATTGCTAAGATAAAAAGAATATAACAAATAATATGAAAATTAAAACTATAATGATGCATACATTCAAGACTAATAAATTTGATGCTTATGACATGTCACACTATGACTAAAGGGATATGGTGCAAGCATATAATGGAAACATTTTTTTCTTAGAAATTAGGACAACCAAATTAAATTTGACAAAGCTAATTTACTATTTTCCAAAATCAAATACTAGTCAAGTATCACATGGAAGATTTTTCTAGAAAGTGAAATACTTGAAAACCTTTGCTTACTAACTGACTTCTAGGATTGAGAGAGAGAATCTATGAAAAAGCACATCAAAAAGGAAACCAAGAAATCAAAATTAGCAAAGGAAGTTTTGCAAAATAGGCTGATGCAGCGGCAATCAACACTGAAGTGGTAAGTGAAGTCAACAATTGATGTTGCAAAGTTTGGCACGTAGGCGAGTGAGGTGCATGACCTATGACCTAACGATGCCTTGACTTGACCAGGCATGTGGGGATGTGGGCATCAACCTTCAACTTTGGTACTTCATCATCAAGACAAATCAAAGTTGATGACCTTATAAGTGATGTCCATGTCTCTTTCCAATGGCCAAAATTCTGTAGATGTAGCTCCAAAGTTGCTTTTTTTTTCTCTTTTCGATGAACGGTGGAACAAATGGTACTAGTGTTCCTTAAGGTTGTCAATCAGCAACAGGTGACACTTGTCACAGCAACTTAATGGATATCAGATAGTCAATTAGCAGTAAACAATGCTCTCTCCATCTGGGCACTTCTTCCTTTTTTTCATAACAGTACTAGTTTTTTTTTTTTTTGTTTTTCTTAAACAAACATGATTGGAATTTTTTTGACAAATAAAGAATTCTTTTTGTTAGGGCAAGAAAAGATAGATTGATAGCAAAAGTTCTTCTAAGCCATGATACCAATTTGATGTAGAACAAGTAGGGCGATAGAAAACAAATATCTAGAGGGAAAATTTAATACAGATGGAAGCAAATAGGAAGGCAGAAAGGAAAGAATCAATAGAGGGAGAAAATCTCAAATATTAACATCCAAAACTTGATCAAAACTAAACTAACAAAGGTTTTTTTTTTTTTTTGGTAATACAGTCCCAAATATCTAAAGTTTTGCTTGGGCCTAATTCCTTCCTCGAATGATTTTAACGGCACACTCCCTACATCGGCATGGAGAATTCAAGACTTTACTCTCCAAGCGCTCTGCACAATGATTGAACTCTAGTTGACAAGGAAATGAGCACCTCTCCTTAGCAACTAAACTTACACATGTCGATATACATAGGTATGTATAACTAAATCCAAAACCCTAATGAAACGCAAAATACCTAATATAACCTTGATTAGAAATAAATTTAATAAAATAAAAGGCATAAAGGATTCTTTATCAAGTCTCTTTAAATCTTGTAACGCTAGATATTGTAAAAGATTCAAACCAAAAAGGAATTCATTGAAGGAGAAAGATAAGTGTCCTATTTGGTGCAGAAATGTAACAATTAGGTAGAATAGAACCTGCCACATGCTACAACAATATCATCAAATTTTACTCCGTTGCTCCTTATCTGAAGCTGCTGCTCAATTTCCCTCATTGCCTCAATATAGCCCCTAAATAGCAAAAAATGTTATCTGTTTGTATTGGATTTAGAAAAGGAATAAAGACTTTAAAAGCTTGCAACCATTAATTAGGAAAAGAAGACGAACAGGGAACTTGTATTACGATTTACTTGAAGAATAAGGCACACAACTTGTTAAGGGCCTAAAGCTAACTCCTTGAATAAAAGACCATTAATCCTCTATTGGTCCGAATCCCAACCCCACCCAAACCAGAAACCCCCCCCCCGCCCCCCTCCAAAAAAAAATGAAAAAAAACTCTCAGTTGGTGAATTGACAATTATCTTTCTTTTGCATTTTATTTTACAAGTAATTAAATCATTTGGGAGAATTACCAAATTTCAAGGCAAATCAACTAGTATACATCAGCTTCTAATTTTGCAATTAATGTAATAAGCAGCATTAAAGAGTTAAAAGAAAATTAATTTTGCAATTATTCTTTCAAACTTACCATGTTAATCATAACGTTTTGAGAAAGGAGGCCAAAAGCTAATATGAACCTTTTTACTTGAGTAATTTTTCCAACCTTTCAAAAGCCAAAGGGGGTTACAACCCCTATCAGTCCCTGGCTTCACCCCTGACAGACAGATTTATGATTTGCTAAGGATATCTGGGTCATCCATGAGCAAATTTTTGGACTAAATGGTCATTTCACATCAATTCTTTCCGGAATTTATAGAGTCATGGGGAGTGGACAGGGTAAGTGTGTGGTGTGTGTGTGTGTGTGTGTGTGTGTGTGTGCCGAGAGAGAGAGAGAGAGCTGTATGAAGCTATGGGAGAAAGAAGCAAGGTATGAGGGAGAGAGCATGCGACAAGATGACCGACATCAACAACGACAAAGGAAAAGAGGAGATAAAGCTAGATAGATTAGATGAAAAAAGAAAAAGAATGACAAAACAAACGGAAGAACAAAAAAAAATGATGGGACAAGAAAAATCTCATAAAAATAGTATAAAAATTAAGATTGTGATATCATTGATTTAAGAAAATAAAATAAATGTAAAAATATTTGTATAACCAATCAATGAAACAAAATTTGTTGCAAATCAACTATATAATTAATGTGAATTAATGATGTAAACCTATAATCAAGGTTCATTAGTGATATAAATGTTAAAATCAATTTTAAAATCCATTCATTCTACTTTTATCATATATATTATATACTTATATGATTATTTGTTTAAATGTTCAATAAAATACAATATACATTATAAGATTTATTAATAATTACTTTTGACATAGACGATCATTCTATTCCCCAACAACGCAGTCATCAATGGAAAAATTTGATTCTTCGAAAATTAACCCATATAGGAATGAAGGCAATTCAAACATCAGTTCAAACTTTTATCCATTTTCATGAAAAAAAAAAGCTAAAAAAAAATTGCTATGAGTCATGGACATTTTAAAATTTTTTCTTTTGCCACAAATGAACCTTAGCCATGGTCCATTCATTTGTATCTTAAATAATTCAAGTTATTAAGGCTTTCATATGGTCTTAAGTGTATATTTGAATCATGCTCCTAAGTCAAATGACTTTGGGGAACATTGTCCAAATAAGACAAGTTAGCATTTGCCTATTTATCTCTTTAAAGACCTCAAAATACTATTCACCCAAAAAGAATTGCTTTTCATCATATTTTGCTTTTATTAAAATATTCCAATAACATTCTCCCTTTGATTCCAACCCTCTTTCAAGATTAAATCTTACAACCCTTACTAATTCTTACATGCTAACCATAATCCCCTACCTTAGCCATAAACCTAAGTTTCCTAATTTTCTAGCCCTACCCATCATAAACCCTAAGTAGGCATCTTCTCCAAATTTGTTCCAACATCAACCCACCAACACTTTTACTAGAAAATGTGATTCAATAGAGGATGGAGAACAATAAAATAAGACCACAATTCTGCTGAATTAATTTAGGATATTGTCCTATAAGCATACTATGATTTCATACAATATATGTAAGCAGCTACGCGTAGTCTGAAAAGACTTACTGGTGTTGTTGTATAATATTTGCAGCATAACTAATGATACTCTAGTGCGATGGTAAACTTTCTCATAGGTTCTGCCACTTATCAGCACAAAATTTACTGGACCTCAAAATAGGGGCTATAGAAAAATTAGTTGGTAAAAGGAAACATATAGTGATATATGATATTAGGTATTCTATATAGTTTTCAAAGAAAATAATTCAACTGCAGATGACATGGGACAGAAAAAGAGAAGAAACTATGACCCAAGCTTACCAGGTTCCCAAGGAGTTTGATCCACCAACAGGAATAACATATGGCCTCCTGCCTTCCTTTAGCAACTTTTCTTTCAAAACATTAGTGAGGGCCTGATACCAAAAGTTCCATAATAAGCAGAACCAGCAAACCACATATCGCAATAGTACTGAATTATCAATTCCATCACATAGAAAATGGATCCTACAATCTAAAAGCAGCATAGTTTGGGACATGTAGCTCAGAAACATTCTCAAGGAATCATTAACAAGCTCTTGTTTTAGCCATCTAATAAAGGCAAACCCAAAATCAAACTGCTAGTTCAACTCAAAATCCACGACAAAGGTCAAAGAATCTAACAAGCAGAAACTGAGAAAGAGAAAAACATCATCATTGTAGGGTAACCTACCTGCAACTAAATAGTGTTTAGATGTTATTTTGATAAGAAGTAAACCAGCTTAGGTCCATATGACAAACTTACAAACAATTAGCAGAATGTATTGGCAAGCCAACAATGTTGGACAACATGTAGCAACACTAGTGAAAATAACAATAACAAAATAAAAAACATTATCTAAGAATATGAGCAAAGAGTTAAATTGTGATGGACGCTGTATGCCCCACTCTGCAATAAATGAAAATCCTAATGCATTTGCATAAACAATATGTAGATCTCTTCCGTTACAAGAACGACAGCTTTTCTCTTTCTGACAATCCAAATCCACATTAGCAATAGCCTATAGAAAGACCTATTTGGTGCCTTAATTGGAGCATTCTGGCATTCTCAGGTCCTACCCCGAAGTAATTACTAATTAGGTGGAGGATACAATAATGATAGAAATAACTAATAATAGCAAGACCAAACAGTGACAATAACACCCGAGCATTTGACTCATTGGTTAGTGCATGTTCCCCTACCTAAAAAGCAGGATTCAAATCCCCCTTCCCCCATTTAAAATAAAAAATAAAAAACAGTGGCAATAAAAAGTCAGAAACTAACAACACTCCCTATTTGTGCATATTCTTCTTTTGAAATAAGTTGAATATGAGCTCCGACAAAACGCTCCACCAGCAGATTGCCTGTCAATCCAGGATCTTGATCAACAAGAACCTGCAACAATGAACAGGTTAAGCGAAAGAGAAGATCGTTGCTTAAGTAACTATCAGAAAGACAAAAAGAAAAGAAATGGTGGAACCTTAGAGGTACGGAGTATAAGATAGCAGTCAAGATTCAAATACTTAGCAGCAACGGCAGTGGCGCGGCAGTGGTTGCTTTGGATGCCACCAATTGTGATGACGCAATCAGCACCCTGCGCCACTGCTTCGGCCATTAAGAATTCCAATTTCCTGACTTTGTTACCGCTCAGTTGCATGCCTGAAAGATCGTCACGCTGCGTGAATTGTTATCGTCAGCGCCAAACAGCAAAAGCATTAGCAAATAAATAAAACCACACCCAAAATTACCTTCAACCAAACCTCCGTGTTTTGGGGCAAATTAGGCAGATTCCACTTGTGAATTGGAGTAGGAAGCTGAAAAACAACAAACAAGATTGGATTGTTGCTGAGGAAATGAAAATTAAGCTAAGTTACCCACTTACATGACCGAGAGAGAAGACGTGGGAAGGGATGGGTTTGAGATGGGAGGCCCAGGAGGGAGGAGAGTACGGCTTCTTGCCAAGGAAATCAAAGCTTAAGGCCATGGCTTTGGGGGCGTCGTCGTTGGTTTCCGTTTCCGTTGCTTGAGACTGAGAGCAATAGACTTTGGGTTGTCCAAGGACGGAAATAGACTGGTTGAAAGGAGGGAGAGATGATCGGAGTAAGGTTAGCTTATTTGGGCACAACATGTCATTCCCTTTTCTAATTAATTCATTCTTTTCTGTAATAGATTTATCTATACTATATATAAAAGTAGGATAATTTGATTACTGTTTAATTTCTTTAAATAGAGAGTGTCATTTAATTAGAATCTCTTTTTATACTTTTTTTGAGCTTTTTTTTTATATTTCTTTTGAACTTTTTTTTTTCAAAATGATATCGTATTGTCGATTAATAACTTTTTATTTTTTTTGACCTTTCAGTTCATCGTTTTTTTATCATTGATATTAGGTCTTTTACATTCCCAATTATTGTTAGTCTTTCTTTTGTTGGTCGGTCAATTTTTGTTTCCTCACCTGTCATATCGGACTCTCTCTCCTCCACTGGTATCTGCTTTCTCTCTTAATTAATGCTTTATTCGTAGCATAGAAGAGGGATGCATGGGTTGTTGTAGATCAATTTCCTGTGGGATTGATACTCTACTTGCTAATATATTATCTATTCGATACATATACTCACGTAGTAGAATTTTAACTGACAAGTTTTTGGCACCGTTGTAGAGGAATTTTTTCTCGAATTTTTACTAATACTAATACCAAGCAATTTAGTCTTGTTTCAAATTTTATTTTTCTTATTTTAATATTAGATTTTTTTTGTGCGCAGATCTCTTTAGTCATTGCATGCAAAGAAGAAACAACTTGAATCTTGTTCCTTTTGATCTTGACATAGAAAGAACTTTTAGAAGACGTCGAAGGGAGAATTTTCAAGTTGTAACTTTAAATCAGACAATGGCTGAGGATAACAATAATAATGGTAATAATGCCATTAATTTGGTTCTCGAAGCAAATAGAGCATTACAGGATTATGCTGTTCCTCTTTTACAAGGTTTGCACCAAAGCATTAGGAGACTTTCCATCAATGCGAATAATTTTGAAATTAAGCCAGCTTACATTCAGATGATTTAGTCTTCAATCCAGTTTAGTGGATTACCTAGTGATGATTCTAATTCTTATTTGATAAATTTCTTGGAGATTTGCGATACCTTCAAGTACAATGGAGTAACTGATGATG